TAGAACTTAAGAATCCTCATCCCAAGGAAAAAAAGTCTGTAATTGTGTACAGTGATGGATGTTACCTAGACTTACTGTGATGATCATTTCCCAATGTATATAAATATCATTGTGTTGTATATCTAACATTAGTATAATGTTATATGCCAATTATACCAATAAATTTTTATTTTCTCTAGTAAATGTCTATAAAATAATGACTACTTTGCTCAATTTCTAATTTCATTAGAAAATTTTAAAAAATCACGGCCAATTTGAAGTTAAAAGCCTAGATGAAATTAAGAACTGCAGGCCTTTTCTTCTGTCCAAGTGATAATAAAACAGCTTCGCTTCCAGCAACAATAAAGATACTATAGTTAAAATAAACACGTAGCTGAGTAAAGAGATCTGCATCTCATTATAAATTTCAATCCTGAAATTTAATCTTAACTCTTGGGACTTAAAAACCTCAACTTCTTCTATTTAGCCTCACCAAATTCTAAAATCATCACAATGGTGATACTCAGATTAACATGTCTTGGGGCAGTTATTGATGCAAAGAAAAGAAAGCTGTTTACTCTGGCAGATACAGACGCAGAGAATGCAAATGAAAAGGGGGAGACACACATATAGAGAAAAGCAGGAGGGCAGAGATGAAAAAATGGCAACACTGGAAAAGTAAAATTCTGAGGGAATGAATGAAAGGGACACGCATACAGGGAGACAAAGGCGAGGAAGAAAGAGTTGAAAAGACAGAGAGACAGAAGCACAGCTAAAGAAAATGGAAGGAAAAGCACAGACAGAGTTAAGCCAGAAAGAAAAGTGAACAGAAGGGAACTGATGGGCAGACGAGTAATGAGGAAACGGGACTAGACAGACACAGGACAGCTAGTTGAAGAAAAGATCATGTTTACCCCAGAAGTGTTTCAAGTTGCCTATTTTTACTGCCATCCTCCCAGTGCGCCACTAAAAAGGGGTCAGACTTTTATTTCTGTAAAATGGTTAACAATATCTGATTTACTGTGAGAAGCATAATTTTTGCCATCATTAAGGTTCATACAGTGGATGTGTTAATAACTTGATGAGAGGGAATTTTACAATGTATGTAGCTATCAAATCATCACATCGTACACTTTAAGCGTCTTACAATTTTGTCAATAAAATTCCTCAGTAAAGCGAGGTAAAAGGTCATATATATAAATATACTGGGGAGAGATCCCTAATTTTACACATTGCTAGTCTTTTTTTAATGTTTCTTTATTTTTGAGAGAGAGAGGGAGAAAGAGAATCAATCCCAAGCAGGCTCTGGGCTGTCAGCAAGGAGCCCGATGCAGTGCCCGATCTCACAAATGGTGAGATCAAGACCTGAGCTTAAATCAAGAGTCAGACACTCAACTGACTGAACCACCCAGGCGCCCTGCTAATTTTTTTTAAATTTTTTTCAAAGTACAAAATGATACTACCCTAGTCAGGGCAAATTTATCCTAAGGCAAAGACCTATAGAGCCATTTATGATTACATATTATAATGGCATACAACTCCACTATCAGACTAAAAACACATTCTTAGTTGAAAATAACTTACCATTCACAGTCAAAAATCCAAAAAATTTTGTCCTGTTTCCATTATTTGCCCCTTTTGCTTCAATTGACATGTTATGCTCTATCTCTTGTCCTATGCAGAATCTCTCAGGAGCCATCGATCTGAAGAATTCCTTCTTCTGCTGCCACCTACCAGTTTATTTCTCTGCTGCAGCAGAAGGGTATATAGAAAAAGTTCTTGCTTACTATTAAGGTTAAACTGAAAAGTTCCTTTAACATTTCATATTTTCACATGTGTATAAGCTTCCTCACTGTTTCCCCAAGACCTCCCCACCAAAGTCAAAACAACAAAAGTTCCAATCACAGAAAATCAAACAAGTATGATCAATATTCATGCTAAGCTGGGAATTCTTTTTAAGTGGAAAGACTTAGATGCTCAGCAGCTGCCATCTCAAGAGCCATTTCTTTGGTTACACTTAACTTCTTCACCTCTCTCTATAATCTTATGAGTTAAGTGTGCAACTTAAAAATTAACTAGGTAGTTACAACTCCTACAAATTTTAAGTTCAGAAACTTTCAAAAGAACTGTGGAAGATGCAGCAATAAAGAAGTTTTTTAAAGTAAATTCTAGAAACTAAAGGTGTTAGGTGGTTTACCTGCATGAGTTTTCAATGTTCTGGACTGCTTATTGCCCAATGGCTCTGAATACATTAAAACACGAACACATACGCCACCTACATTTAAAATAGGGTAGCATTTGTATGCCCATATAAGCACTGGGTGTATCTTTTGCAAAAGAGTAATAAATTCATTAAGTCCTTTTAAAAGGACTAATCACAAATGCACATTTCCTAAAACTGTATACATACATAAAAAAAAATTAGGGCGAAAAAGGGAGACAGAGTGACAAATGTAATAGCAGTTGCAGAACTGGAAACTAACACAACATAAATGTTTTCTGTTTGTTAAATTCCTGAAATTCATTTCTATTCACATTTATGTCACTGAGGGTCTAGGTTGAAAGTTTATTCTGTATTAGCTACTAAAGAACAGTATCCAATAATGAACTAGTAATACTAGTAATCTATGGCTTGTTTTTTTCCCACCCTCCCACTACCTTTACCCCAAAATACAGGTTTGCCAACATAAAAAATGAAACAAACAGACATAAGCACCAAAGGCTAGTCAACAGTGGCACTGTAGCAACATCGTTTCTACGTTCTCATTCCTTCCCCCAATCTCAAACCCCACCCTTTGACCTCTGTATATGGGATGAGCCTGAGCAGAAGAGTTGGTGATGTCAGGACTGCGCCGTTCCCACGGATGCTCCTAGAGGCCTGCTGTGCTTCTGGGAACTGGGGCACAGTGATGTCTGTCTGACTGAAACCTAAAACAACAACAATTCACCCCACCCCCCATGTTCCCAAATCCCACAACAGCAGCCAGGTATATACGCTATATAAGGCCCAGCTAATAAGTTTGTATATGGTGAAATCTGAAAGCAAGATCATTCTTAACAAGTCAGTGATCTTCATGGGGATAGCAGAGTGGAGACTGTTAAATTCTCCACGTCCCATGTAATCCCATAGTCCACACATTCTAATGCTGGCCATTCTTACAGCAAGAGAACAGAGTTCTCTGGTACAAGTCTTTTTAAAGTATTTATAGATCATAAATTCCTGCAGGAGGCAGTTGAGATTCCTCTGTTAGTAAATTTCAGTTCAACAGATAAATACTTTTCCCTTAAGATGTTTAGGGGAGAGAGTGATTCTATCTTAGCATGAGTTAACTGAAGCACAAAACAGGTTAATGATTTATTTTATGCCTTCAGCTATAGAATGCATTACAAGCCAGAATTTTCCTAACAGCTAACTAGTGAGCTTAAAGCCTCTTCAGATATACGTCTAAAGCCACAGAATAAAATTACACAGAAGTATATCTTGAAAAGGTCCTGACCGCTGTCTAGTAAATGAGGATTTTCTCCCCAGTGATAATAACTCATATTCGTACTAAAACTTACGGCAAGACAAGAGAAAGGAGGAAAGGGTAGGTGGACTGGGGTAGGCAGAGAAGGGGATACTACATTAGCTACTGGGAAGGCTATTAAAATGGAGAAGTTGTATTCCTATTCCTGCACTAAGTTTGTTTTATAGCCTTGGTTAATGTGCTTAATGATTTGTGCTTCAGAAATGCCCTCCAATGTGTTCAAATCTGTAAATTTTTATTGTTTAAACCATTATGAGAACCTCAAACTGCTCATATCTATCTTTAGAACTAGCATCTTAGAAATTCTAAAATGATTAGTTCTGAGATTACACTGTTCCTAAAATAACTGAAATGCTTTCTATTACCTTTGTCTCATCACTCCTTTTCGCTTTTTATAATGATGTCACAGAAGGAGAAGCACTAAGACCAACTCAACACTATGATGAAGTTTTACCATATATATAACCTAGAACCTAATTTTTACCTTTTCAAAACTCTAGTTTTCCATACCTGGCAACTCCTAATTGATGTCTTTATACTGTGAGCTCACTGTGTATTCGGAACACCAACCCCTGAAAAAGCTTAAGCCAGAGGAGCACAATGGGAGAAACAAACAAACCCAAAACAAAAACAAAGCCAAAAAAGTCACACTCTGAAATACTTCATTATAGACACATATGCAAGGAATGGAGTTATCTAAATGGCTACAGTAAATTCCCAAAGAAAGTCCTGAGTTCATCCCAACCAACTCAAACTTTACCCCCAAAGTTCTTCTTTAATCAAATTATTTGTTAGGATACGTGTTTTCTTTTTTTAAACAAGATATTTTTTTCCTTATAAACCCACGATTGCTGTTAAAGTACACAAAGAAAATTTTTTAAAAAGAAAGTAAGGTTAGCCTTGCGATGGAAAGAAAGGAGAGTCAAATTACCTGCAAGCAGGCTGGGGCTGTGCCTGAATCCAAACCGCTGCATTTACCATTCATTATACAGCTGCATTATTGGGGGAAGGGGAGTTTACAAGGGCACTGACCCCGAAAGTTCTCAATACTTCTCACTCATCATCAGGAAGGGGGAAGAAGGAAAGTTTTTTCTCTGGGTATTTTTTTGTTTGTTTGTTTTTGTTTTTTTGGCTCCTGAAAAGGCTGGCAAAGAACAGTAACAGTGCAAGCAGTTAGAATATTTCTTTAAGAACAACTTTTAAAAATGCAAAACATTAAGGAATTTAAAACACCAAACTTTCGTTAATATAGAAAGAATTTTCACTAGAGTTAGGCAGCCACCCCAAAACAGCATGGCAAAAGGGCACTGATAAAGGAAATAAAATACCACACAAAAATCCAAAACAAAACTAAAAACATTTCAAATTAAACCTGGAAGACTAGAAGATTCCAACAGCAGATTTCTGTCCACTACTGAAACATTCCAAAATCCAAGCTTCAAAGGCGCCTAAATGTATCTTAAATGAAACTTTGTTTTTTTTTTTTTTAAGAAAAAAAAAAAAAAAGAAAGCAGTGAACCTGGTTATAAATCCTGCAATATATTACATTTTAAAATATCCTAATACAACAAAAACAAATTTTAAATGAAAGTAAACAAACAAACAAACAAATAAAAACAGTAGCAGCAGAGGTTACCTGTCTGAGCACCTACATTTTCTTAGGAGGGGATCGTGTCTCACCAGCCAAATAGCCCATAAACCTTCTCAAAAAGAGTGAGCCAGGAGAAAAATGTAACACAAGATTTGATTTCGCAACGTCTCTAAGCTCCCCCGACCCCAAACTGGGGATTCACTGAATGAAGAGAATCTGTTTTTCCACTGTTTTCTTCTTGAGAAAAAGAAGAGATGATTTTGAAAGTCAATTACTTCTTTCAATGCCTTCGATATCTTCTCAAAGTCTGATAAAGTGCTTGATGAAACCAAGTCTCTTGATGGATTTTTCTAATGTTCCAGCATATTCTCTTATTGATAGCATACACACAAAGATTTCAAAGTTCAGTGGAGTAAAAGCCAGCAGAAATAACCAATTATTAGGCACCAAAAAAAGAAAAAAACTATTAAAAATTTTAAATAGAATAGTTCATATTTGTATATTTGTGTGCATGTGTGTGTATAGTCCAGTTTTCATCACAGGTAACAGTATCAGAATTACTTTTAAAATACAATTAAGAATTAACAATTTTAACAACACATAATTTTACAATAATTCAGATTTGAGCATGATAAGAATTATACATATTTAATAAATACATTTTTACCTCTCATAATAGCAATGAAGATAATACAAAAGTTGTTAAACAATAGGAAAATATATTTAACTTTCACGTAAATATCTGGGATTTTCATTTGGGTTCTTCCAAAATGATCTGTTCATATTCTTTACCTTAATTTTTAAATGAGTTCAAGAAGATACCCATGTTTTTAAAGTCTAAGATGACCATTCCTACCCTTTTCCTTTTAACATGTGAGTGTATGATCCAGAAATAGGTCAGTAAAATTGTTTTACTATAGTGTGAATGCACAAAAGATCAATCAGTAGTGAATAAAATTAAAGGTGAAATAATCTCAGATAATTCTTATAATACAGTGGATTAGTTTGGTAAAAAATTTTTAAAGGGTATCTACATTTTTCCTAGTGACTTACCCCACCCAACACAAACCCTGAGTTTTTCAAATAGGGTGTTCTTTTTATGTTATAAAATTAATAAGTCTATAAACATGTGATATGTAAATATTTAATGTGTCATAATTTATGTGATAATCAGATGGTCTCTACACAAACATGAATAATGACTTAATTAAGCAGTTCTTTCTCTCTCATTTATTTCTCTATCCCAAATATTATGCATCCTCCAATGGTCATTCAGTGAAAGAAAGAAGTACCATGTATTTCTTTTCGTTAAAGAGACAGAGGTACTTATATATGTATGTAAGGCCCAAAATAACTCTATGTGAGTCAAATTCTTTTATAGGAGATTAGAATATCCTAAAGTAAATTAGAAAATCCTCTTATCTTTTTCTGAGGTGAAATAAGACACTGCACAGATTAGAGGTACTATTCTATTTGTCAACAATCAACCTTTCACTCAATTTTAATATTATTTAATTCTATGGAAAAAAACAAATTTTATTACATTCCTTTTTAAAACGGGGAAAAACTGTACAAGCATGATCAAACCTCTGTTAGAGCTGGTTAATACTGATCTTTATTATTGCCTCGAAGTCTCTCTAGTAGTGTCCAAGAAATTATGTTTAAGGTCCATCTGAAGGAAAAAAGCACTGGAGAGGCAAGAGAGGACTCGGGTAAAAGCTTCAGAGGGTTGTAGTAAGATGGAACTTGCTGCTTAAAAAAATTACGTTGAGCTCTGGAGCATCTCCATTTCTTAACACACTTTCCAAACCCATTATTCAGATTTACCCCTGTTTTAAAGGCTCCTATTAATATGCCATTTTGGGGATTTTATAAATTCAGAAATTAAAGGAGTATAAAGAATGGACAGTATTGAAGGCTTCAGAGTTGGGCTATAAGAGACTTAATACTGCTAAGTCCCCAAACAAAAATGTGCAGTCCACCCCACCCTCAAACCTATGACGTGAACAGGAGAAAATGCACAGCCGGAAGCATAGAAAAGCATGTAGCCTTGAATAAATCATACACTGAACAGTCTAGAACCAAAGAAAAAAACCAAACAACATACATATACATAAAAAGGCCTAAGAAGCATCTATTTTCTTTATGTCTTTAGAGAGTACCTCTACCCCACTGGAGTATAGTTATTAAAACAACTTATCTGTTTTTTAAAGTAAAAACTGTTGCCCCATCATGCTCCATTTTCTATAATCTATCCTTTTTTGATTGGTGTAAACAAAAAGCAAAACACATACACATGCATGCGTGCACACACACACATATATACTCCCTCCTAAAATGTGAAAAATGCAAATATATAACGCTGGTATTATAAATCACTTCAGCTTTATACTAAAGAACTTATAGACCCTTGATTTGCCCCCCAAAAAATATTTTTCCTTGTCCTTATACTTTAAATGCCCAACCACCAAAAGAAAAAAGGAAAAAATAAAAGGCTTTAAATGCACATGTTTCAAGTCAGTGTCTTGTTAACAAAAAAGGTAGCACTTTCTTCACTTTGGCTATTGTTAAAGATGCAGGCATAGATCAGGGAATGTTAGACTAGCATGTATTAAAAAAAAACTGCAACATTAACAGAGCATTATCTTTCAAAAAAGATTAAAACACTAACAAATACAAGTCAATGCACATATTTTAAACTAGTGTAATTTTATCTACATTGGAGTAAATGTCATCTTGTGTACCAGAATTGCAATACTGTTCATTTCCCTTTTATCATGCAGAAATGCCAATTCTGTCATTAAAAAAAAAAACCTTTATTGGGTCATATTAATATTGCCTTCCCACCCAAATTAAGGGAAAAACCAAAACACAAAAATTATAAATCCCAATAAAAGAGCTCTTCAAGATTTCATAAACTATGGACATAAAGTTGCTAGTTTACATGGTAAAGGCAGAATTTTCAGATTTGTGTGAAAAATTCCTATCATTTAGGTATCTTCCTCGCCCATCACAAATCTTTGCAACACAACGTAAAGTTATCCTATTCTAAATTTTGTAGTAACTATACAAAAACAAAAGGGACCATGAGAAAAAACTGTATGTTCTTCATGGCCTGAGAGTATACACATTTTTGAGTAACTTAACAGGTTAACTTTAAGGGCCGGACATTTTTCTGCACCTCCTCTCTTCTGCCTCTCTGCAGTATTCTTAAACAAGCCAGTAACATACCAATAGCAGAGGTCTACCTATATCCCTCATCCTCTCTCCCACCTAATCCTACTCCATTTTCTCTCATCTTCCTGAGTACCTTCCATGAACAGCATTGCAAGTTGGTGAGGAAAAAAAAAAAAAAAAAGGAAAGAAAGAAAGGGGGGAAAAGAAGGAAAAGAAAGTGAGTTTTACACGGGTTTTGTTGGTTAACTATTTCCCAGTGGAGTCACTCCACCAGGAGTTTGATCTCATTGGCTAGCAGCTGGTTCATGTTGAACAGGCCCCCTGGGAGCTTGGTGAGCAGCTCTCGCTCCGTGCTTTCAGGGTCACTGTCAACAGAGCTGGAACTTGCGCTCATGTTGTCGACAGCAGTGCTGGCTGGAGGACCCAGCTCCGGCTCACTAGTCTCACTGGCCGTGGACACCACGGAGAGCAGGGACATACGCCGGGTGAGCCGGCCAGAGGGCAGGAGGGAGGCGGCATAGTCCGCTATGATACCAGCTACATCTAGATTACAAGCCTTATCAAAGGCGATGAAACCTACATTTGCATTGGCCTCGCAGACACAGAAGGAGCCGTCATCTTTCATCAATAGGTCAATGCCACACACATCCATCCCCAGGATATTAGACACTTGGATAGCTAGCTGCTTCCCTTGTTCACTCAATGAGCACATCATCCCCACTCCGCCTGGCAAAAAAAAAACAACAACCAAAAACAAAATAAGTTACCAAAATGACACATTTCTGGAGTAAAAATAAAGCTGGCCTCTAACACACCACTTTGATGTTGTTGTTTTTTAAAATTTATTTTTGAGAGACAGAGACAGAGCATGAGTGGAGGAGGGGCAGAGAGAGGGAAACAGAATCAGAAGCAGGCTCTAGGCTCTCAGCTGTCAGCAGAGAGCCTGACAGGTGGCTTGAACCCATGAAACTCGAGATTATGACCTGAACCGAAGTCAGATATTAACCAACTGAGCCACCCAGGTGCCCGAGAGAGAATCTTAAACAGGCTCCACACTCAGTGCTCAGAGGTCAAGCTACAACACAGTATTTTAAATCAGTAGTGAAAGCAAAGTGCCATTCTACTGTAAAATTGGGACTTCAAAATCTAAATTTCCTTCATTAGAGAATCCCTGTCTAATCCAGTCTCTCAAAGAATTGATGAGTTAGTACTTTTTTGATATGCTATTTTTTTCTGAAAATGGCATTCAGCATTCACAGAAACCAATCATACTTGCAATAATATAGATAGAGGTGAAAGTATTCCACAGACTTCAGATTTTTATCAAGGCAGAGAAAAGTAGAAAATATCAGAGAAAATGGTTCTCCTATCAGAAAATATGTGTCTGATGTGAACACTGGGAAAGAGAAGTTAACTATTAATGGATGTAAAACCACAGACAAGCATCCAGACTGAGTTTGGGAACAAGGGTGGAAATGTAATTAATGGTACCTTACAAATCCACAAAAATTAGAAAAGAAAGAAGAGGAAGAAACGATTTAAATAATAAACACAAAATCAAACTGAAGGAATTAAATGAACTGTATGAGCGATAACACTAAAAACAAACTTAAATTTCCCATGGAAAAGGTGGAAACTGGTCAGACTGGACTGAAAGACAAAGTTTAACCACACTTTCTGCTGTACTAAATGAAAACATTCTGGAAAACTAAAGAGATGGACAAAGAGATAAGGGACAAAGGCAAAAACACCTGACTTCATAGCCTTGTGTCTTTTATAATTTTTTAATGTTTTTTTTTTCTTTTAAATTTATTTCTAGGAGAGAGACAGCATGAACAGGGAAGGGTCAGAGAGAGAGGGAGACACAGAATTGGAAACAGGATCCAGGCTCTGAGCTGGCTGTCAGCACAGAGCCTGACGCAGGACTCAAGCCCATGAACCGTGAGATCATGACCTAAGCGAAAGTCGGATGCTTAACCGACTAAGCCACCCAGGCGCCCCAACTGTATCTTTTAAATATAGTATATACCCATGTACATATTTTTTTCCTTTATCAAATATAATAAGCAATCATTTGTTTGCCTCAAGAAAGAACCTTAATAAATTTTAAAACAGTTTTTACAGGCAACATTCTCTGACAATAACCCAAGAAAAACAGAAATTAGAAATAAATGATTTAAGTAACCAAAAGATTTATCAAGGACTTAGAAATTGCACTGATCCCCTAAATGAAAGGAAAATGAACACATCTATAAAATCACTTCATACCAAAACTTCTATTCTGATTTAAAGAAATTACTTATAAAATAAGAAACTAAGAAGAGAGATTTAATAAAAATTGAATGAAAAGAACAGAAAAAATACAAAGGACAAAAAACCCAAATGTTACTTTTACAAGGTTATGGATGATATCAAAACAATACTGCAGACAAATAAGCAAATGCAATCATCTCATGAAACCAGCAAAAAAAAATCTGAAACCTAAAACAAATGGAAATTACCAACACCGCTCCAAGAAGAAGCAAACTTAAACAGGCCAATTATTATTATGGAAGAGACTGGGAAGGTGATAAAAGAGACTACAAAAAGAACTAAGACCAGATGGGTTCAAAGTAGAGTTTGTTTACCTATGTTACTTTACCTACAGAATAATGGAAGAGAAGGCTGAAAATTCCAATATGTCAAATGAAACCAAAATGTTATATAACCTTGATCAAAAATGATTAAGAATTTTTTTCTTTAAATTTTTTTTTCATTTATTTTGAGAGAGAGAAAGAGACAGAGCAAGTGCATGCAAGCAGGGAATGGGCAGAGGGACAGGGAGAGACGGAATCCCAAGCAGACTCCACACTGTGAGTGCAGAGCGTGACTAGGAGCTCCATCTCATGAAACATGAGATCATGACCTAAGTTGGAATCAAGAGTTAGACGCTTCGGGACCCTGGGGGGCTCAGTCGGTTAAGCACCGACTTCAGCTCAGGTCATGATCTCGCACTTTGTGAGTCTGAGCCCCGAGCCGGCTGCCCCGGGTTCTGTGACTCCCTCTCTCTGCCCCTCCCTCATTCATGCTCTGTCTCTCTCAAAAATAAATAAATTTTAAAAATCTAAATGTTTACTTACTTTTTTGAGAGAGAGACAGAGACAAAGAAAGAGTATGAGCAGAGAAAGGGTGACACAGAATCTGAAACAGGCTCTAGGCTCCATGCTGTCAGAACAGAGCCCGACTCTGGCTCAAGCTCTTGAACTGTGATGTGAGATCATGACCTGAGCCAAAGTTGGACACTAAACTGACTGAGCCACCACTCAGGTGCACCCCAAAAAATAAAATCTTAAAAAAAAAAATCAATGAAATGTTTTGTAGTCAACAAAAACTATTCATTATGGAAAAAACAAAACAGTCCTTGAAAAGAAATAGCTTGAAAGCTGATTTCCAGGAATAACCACAATTATCTAAGATATATGTATGTAATTTCACATAACTGAGATATTGTGTAACTGAGTTTATTTTATTGAGATAGTGTGTGTGAGTGAACATGAGTGAGGGAGGGGCACAGAGAGTGTGAGAGAAAATCCCAAGCAGGCTCTGCTCTGTCAGCAGAGAATCCAACCTAGGGCTCAAACTCATGAACCCTGAGATCATGACCTGGGCTGGAATCAAGAATCAGGTGCTTAACCAACTGAGCTACTCAGTCACCCCTGAGATCATATTACTGTTAAAAACACTAAGAATACGGAGGCACAGCGCTTAACAGTTTTTTTTTTTTTTTTAAATGTTTTATTTATTTCTAGGAGAGAGAGAGAAAGACAGCGTGAGCAGGGGAGGGTCAGAGAGAGAGGGAGTCACAGACTGAAACAGGCTCAAGGCTCTGAGCTGGCAGTCAGCACAGAGCCCGACGCGGGGCTCGAACCCACGAACCGCGAGATCATGACCTAAGCGAAAGTCGGACGCTTAACCGACTAAGCCACCCAGGTGCCCCTTAACAGTTTTAAAAAATGGATAAATTCATGTCCTGTACCTGAAAATCTAGATATCTGCAAAGCTTCCATGTAATTTTCCAATTCTGGAAATCAACAGATTGAAGAGTAGTTACAAGGACAACTCTGGAGCCAAACAGTATATTTGCATCCTGGCTGCACCATTATTAGATCTGTTATCTTGAGCAAGTTGCTTAACTATTCTGGGCCCTCCTCATCTGTAAAATGGGAACACTAACAATATCTAGCAATATCTAAAGAAGTTAATAGTCATAAAGCACTTACTACTGTACCAGCAATGAAGAAATGGTAGTTGCTATTACTGTTAAAACTGAATATATGAGGGGCGCCTGGGTGGCTCAGTCAGCTGAGCTTCCAACTTCGGCTCAGGTCGTGATCTCACAGTTCGTGGGTTTGAGCCCCACATCGGGCTCTGTGCTAACGTTAAGCTTAGAGCCTGGAGCCTGCTTCGGATTCTGTGTCTCCCTCTCTCTGAACCTGCCCTGTTCATTCTCCCTCTCTCTCAGAAATAAATAAAACATTTAAAAAATTTTAAAAAACCTGAATATATGAGAATATTCATATAAAAAAGGCCTCTGAACAATCTGGTTGCCAGAGGGAAGAGGATGAAGGTGGATAAAATAGGTGAAGGGGATGAAGAAGTACAACTTCCAGTTATAAAATAAAAAAAAAGTCATGAAGATGAAAAAGACAGCAGAAGGAATATAGTTAGTAACACTGTAATAACATGGTGACCAATCACTGTGTTGTACACCTAAAACTAGTATGTCCATCATACTTTAATATTAAATAAATATTTTTAAAAAGTGAGATAAACACACACAGGAATATTATTCAGCTATTAAAATACATAGATAGGGGCACCTGGGTGGCTCAGTCAGCTAGGCGTCCAATTGCTGATTTTTGGCTCAGGTCATGATCTCATGGGTTCGTGATATTGAACCTGGTGTATTGGGCTCTGTATTAACAGTACAGAGCCTGCTTGGGATTCTCTCTCTCCCTTCTTTCCTCTCTTCCACTCTCCCCCACAAATAAATAAACAAACATTTTAAAAAATTAAAAACAAACAGGGGTGCCTGCATAGCTCAGTCAGTTAAGCGTCTGGCTTCGGCTCAGGTCATGATCTCACGGTTTGTGGGTTCAAGCCCCGCGTTGGGCTCTGTGCTGACAAACAGCTCAGAGCCTGAAGCCTGTCACTGGATTCTGTGTCTCCCTCTCTTTCTGTCCCTCTCCTGCTCACGATGTCTCTCTCTCTCTCTCTCAAAACTAAATAAAACATAAAAAAAATTTTTTTTAAATTAAAAACAAACAAACATGCCTGATCCAAAACCAAGTCAGAGGCTTAACCAGCTGAGCCACCCAGGCACCCCTAGGAGAGTATTTTTTTTTTAAGTTCTCACCACTCATACACACACATACACACACATACAAAATATAAAGTAACGGATGTGTTAACTAACCTTATTGTGGTAATCACTTTGTAATATATCATATATAAAATCACTGTTGCGCATTTTTTAAAAAATGTTTGAGAGAAAGAGAGAGAGAGAGAGAGAGAAAGCGAGTGAGCCTGTGTGCACTCATGAGCAAGGGAGGGGCAGAGAGGGGGAAAGAATCCCAAGCAGGTTCCACTGGCAGAGCTTGACTCAGGGCTTAAACTTGTAAACCGTGAGATCATGACCTGAGCCAAAATCAGGAGTTGGATACTTAACCAACTGAGCCACCGAGACACCCAACTATGTTGTACATCTTACATGCACACAATGTTGTATGTCAACTTATATCTCAAAAAAGCTGGAAAAATAGGGGTGCCTGGTTTTGGCTCAGGTCATGATCTCACAGTTTCGTGACTTCAAGCCCCCCACACCGGGCTCTGTGCTAGCAGTGTGGAGCCTGCTTGGTATTCTCTCTCTGCCCCTTCCCCACTTGTGTTGTCTCTGTCTTTCTCAAATAAATAAAGTTAAAAAAAGTAACCTCGCTGGGGCACTTGGGTGGCTGAGTTGGTTAAGCGTCTGACTTCGACTCAGGTCATGATCTCACAGTTTGTGGGTTCGAGCCCCGCGTCGGGCTCTGTGCTGACAGATAGCTCAGAACCTGGAGCCTGTTTAAGATTCTGTATCACCCTCTCTCTCTGACCCTCCCCTGCTCACACACACTCTCTCTCTCAGAAATAAATAAAACATTAAAAAAAAAAAAGGAACCTGTAAAAATAAAAATCAAGCTTACCCTCCCCCCCAAAAAACCTTCCCTGAGGATATTCGATTTTGAACAATAAGGTAGAGAGGCTTTGGCTTGATCAGATATTTAAGCATAACGCTGGAGGAATTAAGATTAATATAGGTAATGAATAGTATATAACAGACCAGAGGGCCCTGAAACAGACCGATGCATTTATGGAAATTCAATACATAAAAAAGACAGCATTACAAATCAGTAATAAACAGACTCTTCAATAAATAACGCTGGGAAAACTAGTTGTTATTCATTTGGAAAAAGGAAAATGCAATCTCTATCTCAAACTTAAAAACTAAATCAATTTCAGGGAGCTTAACAACCTAAACATGGAGCACCTGGATGGCTCAGTCAGTTGAGCATCCCACTCTTGATTTTAGCTCAGGTGTGATCTCACAGTCGTAGGATCAAGCCTGCTTAAAATTCTCTCACTATCTCTCATTGTCTCTCTCCTCCTGCTTAATATGTGTGTGTATTCTCTCTAAAATAAAAAAATAAATAAAAATTAAATAAGGGAACTGGGGGGTGAAACACATTGGGAGGAGGACTTAGGAGTTCAGTTTTGGACAAGATGAAAATGTCTGTTGGGGGACGCCTGGGTTGGCTCAGTCGGTTAAGCGCCCAACTTTGGCTCAGGTCATGATTTCACAGTTCGTGGGTTCCAGCCCCGCATCAGGCTCTGTGCTGACAGCCTGGAGACTGCTTCTGATTCTGTGTCTCCCTTTCCCCCTCTCATGCTTTGTCTCTGTCTCTCAAAATAAACATTATAAAAAGAAATTAAAATGTCTGATAGACAACTACATGGAAATACTGAGTAGGCAGTTATTTATATGTACTTGGAATTCAGGAAGAAAGCCTAAATTAGAGAGAGAAATTTGAAAATCATAACATTATAGACGGTATTAAAATCTACAATCCAGATCAGAGGAATAAGAAAGTGAAGTATAAAAAAGTGAAATAGGGGCGCCTGGGTGGCTCAGTCAGTTAAACATCTGACTTCGACTCAGGTCATCATATCATAGGTCGTTGAGTTTGAACTCTACATTGGGCTCTGTGCCAAGAGCATGAGACTAAAACCTGTTTTGGATTCTGTGTCTCCCTCTCTCTCTGCCCCTCCCCTGCTTACGCTCTATCTCTCTCTTTCCAAAATAAATGAACATTTAAAAAAATCTTAAGTACTGAACCAAAACAAACATAATCTTAAAAAAAAAAGAAATAAACAGAAATAAAGAAAAAATCCAGACAAAACGCTGAGACACTTCAACAATAAGAGATCTCAAAATTTATGATTCAGAGAAATCCAATTTTACTACTAGAAAAACAACTCAAAAGTATATTTATTACAGTCAGGGTAAGTCTACTGATCATAGTTCCATGTGAAAGATAATATTTTTCAACTTATTATGTAAAAAGATCTATAATTATACATGGACACTCAGTTGGCAAGCTGTAATAATATTACATATACTAGAAAGACACATGCATTGTTTTTACCTAGTGAGCAGTTACTCTGCATCCTTCCATCAGTTGAACAACGTAACATGGTACCGACCACACGGCCTCCCACGACAATGACACGCACATCCCGTCCGTGAGACTCTTTAACATACTTCTGGAACAGGTATGGAGCTTCATGGCGAATAAGATGGCTCAAATCAGCCAAATGGTGTTTATCTCGAGCCAAGAAAACAGCTTTGCCTATGATTGAAAAAGAATAAAAAATACATTTAACAAATTGTGAGCAGTTGATGTATTACCTGCATTTTGGGTCCCAACCTGCTCTTTCAGAATCTATTAATTTTTAACGAAAGTAAGTTATGGTAGTTATTGAGACAATGCAAAAATGCAAAAGTGTCTTCTACCATTCCCTTAATTCCTACAGTAATCTAGAATATCAGTATATGTTGTGAAGTAAAAGTCCAAGATTTGTAGTCCTCCAGGTGAGCCGCTACTGCTGGCCTCATTTATTACCAAAACTTCCTTTTGTGAAAAAACATGTCTGGGTGGCTCAGTTGGTTAAGCATCAACTCTTAGTTTTGTCTCAGGTCATGATCTCACAGTTAGTGGGTTCCAGCCCCACATCAGGCTCTGTGCTGGCAGTGCAGAGCTTACTTGGGATTCTGTCTCACCCTGTCCCTTCCCTGCTCTCTCTCTGAAAATAAACTTTAAAAAAAAAAAAGTTTTTTAACCATGTCTTATAGATTATTACACAATATATACAAAATTTTGCATAGGGTAAACCAGCAATGTTACTACATACCTAGTTTTATTTCCAAGTTCACTAGTCCATTCCATTGCTCTATTTGTCAATTTTTATGTCAAAGGAAGTAGCTGTCTTTACTTATTTTTTAATGTTTGTTTCTTTTTGAGAGAGAGAGACAGAGTTGGAGCAGGCAAGGGGCAGTGAGAGAGAGTAAGTGGCAGAAACTGAAGCAGGCTCCAGGCTCTGAGATGTCAGCACACAGCTCGATACAGGGCTTAAACTCACGAACTGTGAGATCATGACCTGAGCTGAAGTCAATCGCTTAATTGACTAAGCAAGCCAAGCACCCCAAAAAAACTACACATTTCAACTGATAAGACGATTATCTAGTCAATAACTATGAGGAAATACAAAGAAAATAATAAGAGCATTGTTCAGATTAAGAAAAAAAAATCTACTTGGTATAATCACCATTATTAATTCTCAAGGGTAGTTTCAAAATGATGTACCATAGTAACAACTCATACACACACCTCTATGACCCCGTGTATTCTTCACTACCATGGGAAACTCCAGGACTTCTGCTTCATCAATCATTTTAGCAAAATTTTCATGACCACCTGGTTTGAGTAAAAAAGAAATTTAAAAAGAACAGTAACAGAGGTGTTTTGTGGTAGATGTTATCTATGCTAAAGTCAGCAACACAGGAGGTACAAGGTAAGAACCTGATGGCTAAATTCTGTTTTTCTTAGAGGAAGTAATAAATAAAAGTTGAAAGTACAGTTAAACATCAGTTTAAAACAACAGCTTTTAAAAATCAAAGTTTCCTAATTCTATACAATTTTTCATATTTTTATCCTTTATTCTTCCACTATACAAATAACAGAAGAACCAAGATCCGGTTCAGTGTATTTCCTGTTTAGACTAAGAAACTGAGGAATGAGTCTGTTTAAAAGACTCACTCAAGGAAGAAAAGATGCTACGTGTGGTCTATTCCTCTCAAAGAGAGGAAATAATCTTTCTTATCTCCATTATTAAACAGAGTTCTTTCTACACTAAGCCAGTCAGTACTCATAAGTTTTGTTCTTTACTGTTTTTACTGCCCAGGAACAAGTGATATGGTAACAAAATTAGAGCAAAAAGGAATTGTGATATCAGCTTGGTGATATAAAAAAAATTAAACCAGGAAAAAGTTCATTAAGCAACTAGAGTATCATACATTTGCAGCTTAGAGAAATTAAGATGATTCAGTCCCCAAATTTTAAACTGTGAACATTAGAACATAGGTAATATTTGTTAACTGGGCTAACACTTTTCTCCTCTCCATTCTCTTGAAATCAGAAGCATAGACCCATGATATAAGCTGTAATATTCCAAAAGCATCTGACAGAATTCTCAAACTATTCATATCGTCTCTTCTTGTGCAACTGCTAAAAACAGTAACTGTACTGACGTATGTCACACAGACTTGGGGAGTTCCCTTCTTTAAAATATTAATGGTAAGAAGAGGATTGGGATTTTTTTCACAGCTTCGTTAAGTCTCCAAGCACACTGTGGGACATTTATTTGAACAAATGTCTTCACCTCCACCAGAGCCTGGAAAAGACTCACCGCCAGCCAAGTGAACAAATGTCTTTATGAAAAATTACACTGATTTACAGCACACTTCACCCTTTCTAATCTAAAAGGACTGGACAGGCAGGAAATACATTAACATAATATTGTTTATGGCAGTGTTACTCAGAAGTGTCCAAAAACCTGTGCCTGTCTGTGACTTCTCTGCTATATGCAGCCAGGTAAATAAACAAAGACTGAACACTGGAAGCTTTTATAACATTCTGGCATTTCTCTGACATTTTTTATCGTATTTTTATAAGAGTATTGATCCACAGCATATTGGTCATTAAAAAAAAAGGATCCTTTACTTTTACCAGTTTTAGAAGCACTGGTTTTAAAGTATACCTACTATAGTTTCATTTTCTTAAAAAATAAGAAAACCAACTCCAACAAAAAAAGAAAACAATTTATGGAGAATTATCATGAAAACGCTAATAAGGATAATCAGATATTAAACAGAGAGGTCATCAGGTTGTATATTATCTTTTACCTTCGAGTCGGCAAACTAACGCCAATGAGACAGATTTGGCTCACTGCCTTTTTAAAATAACAGTTTTATTGGAACACAACCTCAATAATTTGTTTAAGCACTGTTAATAGCAGCTTTCATACTAAAACAGCATTACTGGGATCACAAGAATGAACTTATGGCCTAGAAAACCCAAAATAGCTAAAACCACTCTATCAGTATCATGGAACTAAATCTTAACACGTGATTCACAATTCTCCTGCCTAGTTTGTTAACATTGAAAATCACCTCTATAAGAAGTTCCTTTATGTTCACAAATTTCCTTATATCACATAACCCTACTAATTTAATTTGCCTTTCAAAACTATCAGTGTTGTAAAACTTAAGACTATAAATTCTTGTTAGCAAACTTACCATAAGAGAAAGTATCTGGCAGAGGAACACCATGGCCAGCCAACTCTTGAAATGTCCAGAACTTATTAACACAGTTCAGGATGGCTTGAGGTCGGTTCATCAACCGGCATCCCATCTTCTCTAGATGGCGCAAAACAGTGATGTCACTGTCACTCTGCACCCAAGGGGTGGGTACTCTCACTACCACCACCTGGGGGTAGGCAGTAATTAGTTCTCCATTGATCCGTAGACCTGAAATACACACCAATGAAGGCAAAATCATTAAAAGGGATTATACCAAAATATACTAGACCTTGGCTCACAAAACTAAATGTATCATTTTCAACAGATTTCACCAGAACAGAGATACATTCCTCCTTAAATTATATTCCTTTATAAGAAAAAAGAAAATTTAATGAAAAGAATTTCTACAGTGGTTATATAAATTATAGTATATGTCAATACAGTGAAAAACTACATACCTTTACAAAAGACTAAAAAAGTCGGTAGAACATACAACTCTTGATCTCAGGGTGGTGAGTTCAAGGCCCATGTTGGGTGGGGAGCTTACTTATTAATAAAAGTTAAAAAAAAGAATGTCATAATCTCTGTGTTCAAAGATGGAAAATAGGTCCAGATACATAATGCTGAGTTTAAAAAACAAATCAAATCTAATGTATGGAATTGTTGAATCAATTGTACACCTGAAATTAATATAACACTATATGCTAACTACACTGGAATTAAAATAAAATAAAAATAATTCTGTATTAATTATGTTTATTATGTGTTCATTTCAGATAAAGCAGGAAATAAGAAGGTTGCCTTCTTTTATATGCCCAGGCTGCCTTCTGCTTATATGTTCTACTGCCTAGGTGTTACATTTTATTAAACACCTGTTTACCTTTATTATTTTTTACAATAATTTTTGTTTTTTTAAATGTTTTTTTATTTATTTCTGAGAGAGAGAGACAGCGTGAGCAGGGGAGGGTCAGAGAGAGGGAGACATAGAATCTGAAGCAGGCTCCAGGCTCTGAGCTCGCTGTCAGAACAGAGCCTGACGCGGGGCGCGAACCCACAAACCGTGAGATCAATGACCTGAGCTGAAATTGGATGCTTAACTGACTGAGCCAGCCAAGCGCCCCTACATTTATTTTTAAGGAAAAAAAAAATCTGAAAAGTTTTATATTTATATATTCATAGAAAATGTATTGCCCAATAAATAATATAGGCAGCTTTCTCTAAGTGTGAGTGGGTGGCAGTTCAGGAAGAGAAAGGTAGAATGGGAATCTTTACATTTTGCTTCATGCAATTCTCCATCTTCTTTAATTTTTTTTCAGTGAGGACACTTATAATAAAAAAAAAATTTTTTTTTTTTTTTTAAGTTTTGGGGCACCTGGCTAGCTCAGTCGGTAGAGTATGCAACTCTCAATCTTAGGGTTGTGACTTCAAGCCCCACATTGGGTATGGAGATTGCTTAAACATAAAATCTTTAAAAAATAAATAAAATGAGAAGTGTTTTGGATTTTATACACTATCATTCTATTTAAGAGGTCCCAAATAATAAAGGACCAAAGTATGTATATGAGTTGTTCCTTAGACTCTATTTTCTTTGGGGTACCTGGCTGGCTCACCTGGTATGTAGCGTGTGATTCTTTACTTAGGGGCTGTGAGTTTGAGTCCCACATTGGGTGTAGAGATTACTTAAATATAAAAAAAGAATCTTTAAAAAAAAAAAAACTGTTAAAAATAGCATATGCTCTTCAGGGGCACCTGGGTGGCTCAGTTGGTTTAAGTGTCCAACTTTGGCTCAGGTCATGTTCTCGCAGTCTATGAATTCGAGCCCTGCACTGGGCTCTGTACTGATAGCTCAGAGCGTGGAGACTGCTTCGAATTCTGGGTCTCTGTCTCTCTCCCATGCCCCTTCTCATGCTTTCCCTCTCTCTTGAAAATAAATAATATATAAATAGTATATGCTTCTTTAAAACAAATACAAAAACATGTGATGTATTCCATTCCCATCCAACATCCTAAGTTCTCAGTGTTAACAGTATATATTTTCCCCACTGCTAAGTATGGAAAAATATTTAGATACTGTCAAACGTGGTGGAAGTTCTAATATAGAAGAGATCAGTGAGTAACAGCTGAGTTAGGGCATAAGACCTAGGAATGTGTGTATTTCAAGAAAAAAGGAAGAAAACTTCACATATAAGGAAGTTGGAGAAGTCACAGAGCAAAAGAGCAGTAAGAATAATATGTCTTTCAACTGAAATTTGTATTGGCAGAATGTAAAAGATAAAGCCGGCCACTTAACGTGTCAAACAAGCAAAGCCACAAGTTTTTATTAATATATAACTGGAATATAACACTGCATTAGGTTTAGGTGTGCAACATAATGATTTAATCTATGAAAAATACTGAGAGATGATCACTGCAATAAAGTTAACATCACCTCAGAGTTACACATTTTTTCTTGTGATGAGAACAGTTAAGATCTAGTCTCCTAGCAAATTTCAAATATACAATACAGTATTGTTAGCCACAGTCACCATGCTGCACATTACATCCCCAGGATTTATCTTATAACTTGGAAGTCTATACCTTTTGACCACCATCTCCCATTTCCCCAACCACAACTCTGTGTCCCCCCACAACTCTGGCAACCACCAAACGGTTCTATGATTTGTAACTACGAGTTCGGCCTTTTTTAATTCTACAGATAAGTAAGATCATACAGCATGTCTTTCTGTCTGACTTATTTCTCTTAGCTTAATAGCCACAATATCTACCCATAATGCCACAAACAGCAGGATTTTCTTTTTAAATGGCTGAATAATATTCAAATATATGTAAATACATCACACATTTTCTTTATTCATTCATCCATCATGAACAATTAGGTTATTTCTATATCCTATCATAAATAATGCTGCAGTGAAGCACTGGGGCAGACAGATCTTTGAGCTGGTAATTTTTTTTGCCTTCAGGTAAATTCTCAAAACTGGAACTGCTGGATCCACAAATTCTGAGCTAAAGAGTTTATATCTGTTCTGAGGAAGGGAACTGAGGGTAGGTGCCGCATACTGCCTGCTGACATTTCGTACCATCCCTATTTTTTAATCCCTCCTGTATGGCAGGATCTAGAAGCATCTCCTATAATCCTTTACCAGCAGGATTCTACTGTGAGAATCTATCACCAAGAGACAATAATATACAATTTCAAAGGTAAAAGAGATGTACTCTTCGTAATTCTCCAGGGGCAGTGGCACATAGGTATGCAGTAACCTGCACACGTGTGGTGCCAGTGGCTTCAGGCACTCTCACCATCACTCACCACGCTGCTACAGGCATCTTGAGATCAGCAGCGCTCAGGTTTCCGCAATCCCGCACTTTCCCATTTCTTACGCTTTTGCGATGACTTGCCTCTCAAATCTAAAGACTTTTTTTTTAGTCAAATAAAATCTATTGACCAAATTGGGAGTTACAAGTTTTTTATACTAGCATATGGAGAATGAAGAAGTTGAAAAGCAAAGCCATTTGAGGGCAGAAGATGCTGCATTTGGATACAGATATAAATGAATTGTGATAATATGAGGACATCAAAGTGGACCTATTCTGTAATAGCTAAACTATAGATTGAAACTATACATAAACACCGTATGTACACATAATTCATATCAGTAATATGGAGTGTGTGTACACATGTGTGTATTTATTTGTTTACTGGAATCTGCTCAAGACATAATAGCTAAAGAAACAGGGATACATAGACAGAAAAAAATAAAAGGAAAAAATGGAGAAACCCAAGACCAAGACTTGATGGGGCTCAGTAAGAGACAGAAAAGGAACTAAAAACCTGAGGAAAAATCAGTCAAAAACTAGAAAAATCTAGTTTTAAGTACTACTGCAAAAAGGTCAGTTTTATCAGGAATGATCAAATTCATTAAATAAAACAGAAGAAACAAGAAGAATGAGTTTTGAGAAGTTTGATCAATAAAGACATACTGTCACTTGTCAAGAGAAAATTCAACCATTATTACCTTTTCTTCTCATTTCCCTAAGCTGGAGACATTTTTTTGTACCTTTTAAAAAAGGTGATCAAGAAAGTAAAGGAAATGTCCCAAATGTAGTCCCATCACCAGCAGAAACCCTCAATCTGTTTCCACTGGAAACTGAGAGTATGGGAGTACATTCCCCAAATTACAGTCAGATCTGCACACTACACTATACGGGTATTATTGAGGATAGAAAGAAATTCAATACCTCCTGAAGGGAAACACTTTGTTATTTTATATAAGCAGAAGATGAACCAAGGCTAGAAAGAAGAGCAGGTACAGATGAATTTTAAGAGCAAAACAAAAATCGACATCTCTCTCAATTCTGCCTTAAGTGTTCCTGATCTCTGGGGCACTCTTAGTAAATGTTACTACTATCTTTGATGTAAAGCTTATAAATCTGAAATAATAAGTGACTGTTTGCACCTTAGATCCCTGTTATCAGTATATACATGCAAATAAATGTGTACAGAATCTTTCCCACAATTCCACTACACTTGTTGCAAACACAGGTAGTCCAGATGAATGTATTAATACCACTCAGCTTTGTTTTCAACTCTACTTTACATATATATACATATATAGTCTTTTTTACTTATCTTAAGCCTAAATTTGTGAAACTGTTCATCTAACTATATTTTGTGCTGGGGTGAAGATTTCACTGCAAATGTTATAGATTTCACATCTTAGATTAAGTATATGATCAAGTATCAACAACCAAAAGTAAGATAACCTTAGTATAGCAATGGGGTGTGGGAACAATTTTTGTTCCTATATTTTCAAGATAAAAGCATTATGGAGAAATGACAAGTGCTGGTGAATATGTGGAGAATAAGGAACACTCTTTCACTGTCGTTGGGAATGCAGACTGCTGTAGCCACTGTGGAAACAGTATGGAGCTTCCGTAAAAAAATTAAAAAGGTGGCTCAGTCGGTTAAGTGTCCAACTTTGGCTCAGGTCATGATCTCACAGTTCATGGGTTCGAGCCCCGCGTCGGAGCCTGGAGCCTGTTTTGGATTCTATGTCTCCCTCTCTCTCTGACCCTCCCATGCTGATGCTGTCGCGCTCTCTTGCTCAGGGGGAAAAAAAAAACCGCATTAAAAAAGAACTACCACAAGATCCAGTAACTGCACTACTTGGTACTTACCCAAAAACTAAAAAACATTAACGCAAAGGGATACATAACATCCCTACATA